TTTTTTCGTTTTATTATTTATTTATTAGTGACATATTGAATAATTTTATTTATTATTAAAGCACTGCATATACTCACTTCATGATATTTATTTATATAGTCTTTTGTTAAATTATGTTAAAGAGAGAAATGAATAATCAAATGCTTTACAATTTACTACAATTCTGGGATTAATGAAATTATTATTCTCACATTTTTAATTCTTTATTGTACGATTTGGTTATATTATTATTAATTATTAATCATATTCTATTATATAATCATATTTTTATTATTTTCTCATCATTTGATTTTAATATTTCATTGCGTAGAATAAAGAATATCTGTTAAATAATAATCAATTTTTCAGTGATTATTTCATAACTAATATTCATTTTTATTCATTAAAGAATAATTGTTAATCTATTTTTATTTGATTTTAATCATTTATCATCTTCTCATTTATTTGTATTCAATATTATTAAATGTGTTATATTGAGTATTAATGATAATACAATCTGTATTTTATTCATCATATATTATATTTAAACATTCTTCGTTTTAAATGAAAATAATATTTCATCATTCATTGTAATATTTAAATATTTCATTAATTTATGAATAAATATTATTTAATTTTAATGAATTTATTGTTTCTTTGGAACAACAAGTTATTATTAATAAATGACTGAAATTAAAAAACGAAATTAAATAATGATAAAATATAATGAAATAACCATGACCAATTAATACTTAAACCAAAATAACATAAAACCAGAATGACATACGAATAATGAAATATGAATAATAAAAAATAATATAATCTATAATATCTGTTTATTCACATTTTCATTATTTGATTTATCATTTTATTCAAATAATTTGTTCTTTATCACTCTTAGTGTTGCCAGAGTGTTGCATTTTATTGTAATTTTATATCTTCATATTTCATATGTATTATTTTATTCATTTATGTTTTATTTTTTTTTTGAACTAACATTATTTGAAGTTTGTTCAAATTAAATCTTCTTCATTTAGTTTTTTGTTTGGTTATAAATAAGTGATAATTTTTATTGATATTACATTTCGAAAAGAATATGACAATACTACTCTTTTATTTTTATTAATTTTATATTCTAGACCAGTTGTTATTCTTCATTTTATATTATTATTCTCCATTTATTATATTTTACATGATCATTCTTTCATTTATACAATTATTTGATAGTTAATGCTATTTAAAATGAATAAATTTATTTCCATTACTCATTATCATTTTTAGTATTAATTTCATAGTATTTAATTTATATGAATAATTGTAATAAATATAGTAATTAAATTAAGATATTATAACACCAATTTAATGCATTTTATTTCATTATTTATTGTTAAAATAAAATAAATACAATATGTTAATAAAAATGAATCAAATTATGCATCAAAACTATTGAAATAATACTATTTTCATATTTAATTTTATATTTAAATCTTCCTATTATTAAAATATTCTCAAACTTCTTTTTGTTTATTCATTCTCTTTATTATTTAGTTTGATTTATGACTCAATTTTAATGATTTTCATTTTCTATTTTATGAAAGAGAGAAGAGAGTATTTCATTACCATTATACTATTATGATTCATTTCATTTTAATCTTAACCATACCTTAGTAGATTATTTTCTTGATTAATACCTTCATATATTTATTATTTCTTTATTAATAAATACCAATTCATATAATACAATAAGTAATATTCAACCATAATAAATTTGTACACTATTTGCATCATTAACTAATTCATTCCTTATTCAAGTAAACCACCATAACAAGATAATAACAGAGAGAGTTGAATCTTTGAAATATATTATTGTTTGTGTGTGGTGTTTCAGACGTGTCATATTCGAACTGAAGTAAGACGTTTGAAAAAATAATTACAAAAGAAAATGATATAAATGATGGTGTTAATGTTAAATGAAATTAGAAATAATAACAACACAGTAGTAATGAAACGTTCATTCAACATAAAATAAGAAATATAGAAATGATATTTAAATTGAGAAATTAAAAAAGAAGAAATAATTAGAAAGAAGCATGAAAAGAAAACAATAATATAATAGAAATAAAACAATGAAATTACTCATTATAATGTATAATGTGATTAATATCCATTAATCAATGAATAAATAACAACTATTAACAATTAATTCTTTAAATTATTATTATATTTGGATCATTCATTAATGAAAAAAAGAGAAATTTAAACAAAATGAATAAACCAAAATAAAATAACAAAAAAAGAAATGAAAGTTTTTTTTTTAGAAAATCTTAAAGAATTTTTTTAATTACAAAAACTTTTTAAATAAATCTTAGTGTAAATAATATTATCTAGTCTTATTAAATGTCGACACTCGAGACTATTTACTTATGTAACGTTTTTCTCTTTATTAACAAAAAACAAACAATTAGTTTTCTTCCATTTATTTCAAAGAAATGTGAAAAAGCTATAGAAATGATGAAAATTAATCCACCATTAATTTTTCTTGATATTTCATTTATTTCAAAATATTTTAGTCAAATTCAAACATTTCGAGGAAACCTAGTAGAATATCAAACAGAAATTAATGAAATATTTTTCAAACAAATTTATTGGTTTGAAATAAATGTTTTAACAACTATTAATTTAATTAATAGTCAATATTATGACAAAATAATTGAAATAAGAATAGAAGTAAATGATATTATTCGTTTACATTTATTAAAAAATGTTCAAAGAATTATAATATATCATTTTCATGGTAAATTACTTTCATTTAGTTCAATTAATAAAAAAAACAAAATAAAAAAAATTGTTATTTATCATAAAGAAAAACTAAATGAATATGAAATTAATTCATTACTTCATTTTTGTCAAAGATTTAATACGATTAGTATTACCCTTATTAGTTCTTCTTTTACTGAACAATTATTTTATATTTCCAATTTAAAATTATTTAATTATGATCTGTTTAATGATGAAAATGAAACAAATATTCCAAATTATTTAGAAAGTTATTCTAATTCTTTTGAAGAAAATCAAATTAATAATATTGAAAAACAATTTGATATATTTAATGATAATTCATTATGGGAATTATGTAGTATAAAAATGATTCAATTAATACTTATTATTAATCAAAATACAATTACCTTTCTTGACTTAACTTGTTTTGAAGTATTAACTAATTTTCAATTAACTATTTCTTCTGGAAAACATTTAAAATTAACTCTTCCTAATTCATTACAATCATGTTCTTTAAATGGAAATACTCTTTGGGTTAATAATTTAAAAGAATTATCTCATTTAAATTCTTTTTATGTTAATTCAAATTATGGACCTTTTATTAAACAACAAACTAAAATAAAGCAAAAGAAAATATGTCTTCCTTCTTCTGTTGAATCATGTTTTATAAAAACAATGAATTATAATGCCAGACTTGGTTCATTATTAGACTTAAATCTTCTTAAACAACTTAATATTTCTGGCGTTGTTAGTTCAATGGATTGTTCTAACAATAATTCATTAACAAGTTTATTAATTAATTCATCTTCACCAATTATAACTATTACATTTAACTCTCATTTAAATTATATTAATATTACCAATAAAAAAGGTAAAATAATATTTAAAAATTTTGATGTTATAAAAACAATAGAATATCTCTCAATTGATGGTGATTTTGATAAATTAGATCTTAGTAATATTATCTCTATTAAAGATTTATCTTTACATTCTTCTTCAAAGAAAACAACTGTTTTATTCCCTCATTATGATCAAACACAATTACAACATTATTTTACTTCAGTAGGTATTAAACCAAAACCTAAATCAATTATACTTTGTTGTAATTCTTTAGTACTCAGAGGCAATTTTTTGGTATCAAAATTATTTTTAGTATTAAGTCATATTACTATTCCTACTATTGAATGTCCATTATTAAATAGAATTATTCTTCATTACCAAAATGTGGAGTGTATTGGATTTGATTTATTAACACAAAAATTAAAAATACTTTCTCCATTAAATAAATGTTGTAGTTGTGTTTCTATTCTTTCTAACATCACTCAACTCAATCAAAAAAAAATCACTTTACTTTACAAAACGAAAGTATTTCTTTTATGTTCTCCTAAAATGAATAAAAATCCTCCTCGTTCTAAATCACGAACAACTAATCAAAAAAGATTATTTGGATCAAAATCACCAAACAAAGGACTTTATTTATTATCTGATGATACTCCCTCAAGCTCAAGTGATTTAGATGATGATATTAAACAATACATATATCACTCTGATGTGTAGTATAATTTTACTTCTTTATTTCTTATTAATTAAAAACTTATTTTTTTCAAATTATCATTATTAATTAAGTAAAAGTAATTAGTAAAATATTATTTAGTCATAACAAGATCAATTAACTTTCTCATTTAGTTTGTTTTCCCTTATATTGTTTTGCTGGGTTCTTCTTAGCACAAACTTTACCGAAATGTTTGAGTGCTTCTCTGACATTTCTCTTTCCTCTAATGAGGACAGTCTTTCTTCCAGTTGGTGCTTTAAGTGCAAGTTCATCAAATCTTAAACATTTTCCACCAGCTTTAGTAATAGCAGCTTCAGCAGTTTTAGTGAATTTAAGAGCACAAACGTTCATTTTTGGAACTGGGTATCTACTATCATAAGTAACAGTATTGACACAAACTGCAGTTTCTTCTGGATGTTTTTTCATAAGGCAAGCCAATTTACTGGTTGAGACAATTGGTCTGTTAACACGACTTAAGCAAAGTCTGTGTAAAATAGTCTTAGCAAATTTTGATTGGGTTCTTCTAGCAAGGAATCCATATAATCTTACAAGAAGTTTCATATAAGCATTATTTCCACGAGCGGTTTTTGAAACGTGTTTACGAACGTGATGTCTATCAAGATCAATAGCCATTCCTTGCTAATTATGTAAACAGTTCTAGGGTTTATAATCTTTAAAATTCTTAAAAGGAATTTTTTATTTTTCTTTCATTTTTTTAATGTAGTAAATATTATTATTATTTTATTATTTTTTAATTATATTTATTATTATTTATGAATAACACAAATAAATATCAAAAATTAAAACTGTAATAAAATTTATAAAATAAATTAAAAAAACCTTTCATGCAGAACATCAAACGATTTGATGCATATCCAAAAATTAATAGTAATAATAGAGTAAAACATTGGATAGGAGGATTATTATCAATAGTATGTATTATTACTATGATTTGGATGTTTTCATCTGAACTTAATGATTACTTTACTATTCGAAAAAAACCAGTTCTTCGAGTCGATGAATCAAAAAATAAAAAATTACCAATTAATTTTGACATTACTTTTCCTCATTCAGCATGTTCTTTTACATCAGTTGATGTCTTAGATACTACCGGAGAAGTTATAATTGATATATCAAAAAATATCAAAAAAGAAAGATTAAATCTTGTCAATGAAGATGAGATAAGTAAAAAAAAATTTGCTAAAACAGTTTATGGAACTGAATGTCCTCCTTGTAATAATGAAATTGATAAAGATAAATGTTGTTTTACTTGTGAAGAATTAACAGAGTCTTATCAAAAATTAAACAAAGAAGTTCCTAAAGGATCACCACAATGTGAAATAAAGAATATTCATAAAATGACAACATTTTATAATGGAGAAGGATGTAGAATTTCTGGAACTGTTTTTGTTAATAGAGCTAGTGGTAATTTCCATATTGCACCAGGAAGTAGTCAACAGTTAACACAAGAGCATATTCATTCAGTTGATTGGATTTCAGGAGGAATTAACTTAACTCATACATGGAACTTTTTATCATTTGGAGATTCATTTCCAGGAATGATTAATCCACTGGATGGAATTGTTAAAGTTGATAGAACAAATAATTCAATGTACCAATATTTCGTTCAAGTAGTTCCTATGACATATACTTCACTTGACAATAAAGTAATTAATACAAATGGTTATAGTGTTACTGAACATTATAGACCGGGTAGTTTAAAATCACCTGAACAAGGAATTCCAGGAGTGTTTGTTATATATGACATTTCATCAATTGAGGTGTTATACTTTGAAGAAAAAAATTCATTTGGACATTTATTAACAAGTATTTGTGGAATTATAGGAGGGGTTTTTGCTTTATTTAGTTTATTAGATTATTTTATATTTCATGTCTATCATTCAGAATGAATATAAATTCTAATACATAATGTCATTGAAAGTTTTTTACATTTACAAAAAGTTAATTTTTTTTTTATTCAAAAAAATTTTTGTTTATTTAACAATTTATTGTTTCAAAAAAAAACACATAGAAAACAAATTAAAACAAATAAAAAATAAGTAATAACTAATTTCTCTTTGAATGAATTATTTTCAAGCTTCTTTTAAATTTCATTTTTGTTTATAAAAAAGAAGATAAACTTAAAAATAAAGAAAGATATGAATAAATTAGAACCAACACAGATAATAAATTTATTGTGTGTAAATGAATATAATAAAGACATTCCAATTAACAGTTATTATTATCAATTAAAAGAAAATTGGATAGAAATAATAAAAGAAAATTGGATGGAAATAATAAAAGAAGATTTAGAGAACAAAGAAGGAATTGAAATAATAGAAACGTTAATGAAAATTTCAATAAATATTGAATATTTAAAAAAAGAAATTTTAATATTTTTTATAGAGAAAGTACCTCAAATAAATAATGATGAAATAGCAAAAATTATTATTAGAATTATTGTACAATTACTCCAATATTATTTAAATAGTGAAATAATGGAATTAATATTTAAATTATATGAAAAATTAAATAGAATTCAAAGTTCTTATTTGACAGGATATTTAATTGAAAGTATTAATAATGAACCAATAAGTTATTATCAGTTAAATGGTATGAATACAGGGATTTCACTTGTTATTCAATTACCAATATTTCCAGAATATTCATATGCAATTAAAACAAATTTTTTTATTGAAACAATGACAGATGATTCATTTCCAGTAATTTTTTCAATTAATGCAACGATGTATAAATTAACTTGTGCTATTGAAGGTTTAAATAAACATTTAGTTATTAAATGTGAAACTACTGGAAAAAGAACACAACAATTATATTCAGGAATTTCATTTACAAGAGAATATGATACACAATTTATTATACAAAAAAATCAATGGTATTCATTAAATATTTATCATAATAATAATAGATTTATTGTTCAACTTAATAATCAACAACAAGTATTTCCTATTAATTATCCATTATTTAAAGAAACTATTCTTCTTTATTTAGGTTATATTAAAGGTATTCCTGGAACTTCTTTAATTGGTAAAATTACTGGGTTTCAATGGATGTTTGATGTGTATGAATTTAATGATATTAATAATATTGATTGGTTTGATTATGAAATAGAATTTAATAGACAAATAATAAATAATATTATTCCACGATTAGTTTTAAATGTGGGAGTTACTAAAAGTCCATTAAAAAGTGAAGGAAATATTTTAAAAAAAATTGATAAATTAAATAATAAAACACCGTTTATACAAATAGGATTATTAGATGTTTTTAGTGATTATTTGTTTTATCCAATTATTGAAATTGCAACATGTAAATTTTCTGATTTATTTATTGAAGATGATTATTTAACAAAATGTATTCATCTTTTATCTTTAATTAAACCATCAAATATTACAAATGTTATTAAATTATTATTTGGATTAATGGTTAAAGATATAAAAGTTAATGAATGGTGTTTAAATCGTCATTTTTTTACTTTTATATTTGATCAATTAGAAATTGTTATTCAAAAAGGAAATGATACTGTTATTAATGAACATATTAAATTAGTAAGTTCTATTCTTAATATGACTTTAAATAATGATAATATTCATCATGCTTTAATTAGACTTTTTTCTCTTCCTTCTAAATTAACTTTAAATCAACAACTTATTTTCTTGAAAGAATTTACTAATATTTTTACTCCAAAAATTGTTCAATCAATTCATATTGAAAAAGTTATTACAGCAAAAGAAATTGTTTTAATATTTATGGGAAATATGGAAATTACAACAAAAATTCTTTTATTTCAATCTTTAATAGATTTAATTCCAAATGTATTATTAAATAATATAATAGAACAATGTTTCTCTTTTATTAAAAGTGATAATTGGATTATTTATCATATGTTATGGAAAGTTCTTCAATTAGAACCTTTAAAATGGAATGTAAAATATCTTTCTTTTATTGATGTTTTTAAATCTAAAATTCAATCAATAAATGATCTTGTTGCTTCTTATTGTTTAATGACTTGGATAAGACTTGGTGGAAATGGTCCGTTTGAAGTTATTAATTATTCATGGAAAGTTTATCAAACTTGTTTATATTTATCATATAACAAAGAACCTCAATTTGAATTTGAAATTCCAACATTAAATAATCAATGTTTTCAAGAAGAAGTAAATACATTAACATATAAACCAATTTTACCATTACTTTTTGAGTCATTTGAACCACCATTTACTCAAACTCAAAAAGAAGTAATAATAAAAATATTTAAAGACATATCATCTTGTAAACCAACACACAACGTTTATTATTTATTATCATCTATTTCATCATGGATAGATATTATATCAAAAATATTAGTAGAATATATTGATGATACTGAAATGAAATATGTTTTAACAGTATTTTATCATCTTATGAAAATAACAAATACAACAATAAAACAAATAATAGATATATTAAGACTATTGTTACCTGATAATAAACAATTTATTCAACTTTTATTATCTCTTTTAGAAATTTTTATTACAAATGGAGATTATGACTTTAATATTGGAATTATTTTATCAATTATTTCTAATAAAATTAATTATGGAATAAGTATTAATTTACCTTTTATTAATGAATTATATAAATTAATTAATAATTATATATCAAACATTTCATTTAAATGGTTAACTAATGAATGGTTACATTTATCTGAATTAAAAGAATATTATTCAATATATATTTTATTTATTCACTTATTTATTTCACATATTAATATGTTAATATTATTTAATAATACTCAAAAAAATGATTTTGAATTATTATTGTCATTTATTAATTTTATTCTTCCATTTGCCCCTCATCAAATTTCATTATCATTTTTTGTTTGGTATATTTATTCTATTCATTCTTTCTTTACAAATACTCCTCCTTCTATTCATTCTTTAAAAGAAATCACTTGTTTTCATTTATCTTCAATTCAATCTATAAACCAACAATATTATAATCAACTAACTAATATTTTTAATAACTTTACATTCAAATGTATTTCTAATGATATAATTTCATATCATATTAATGAACATCAAAAAGAATTAGATAAAATTCAATCAATTTATTTTGAAGATGTTGTTCTTATTCCTATTACTCCTAAAAAATCTAAAATAAAATTGGTTCATAAAGGTTCTATTTTAAAAAGTTTATCTGCTTCTCTTTCTCGTAGTAGTTCAATTAGTCCTCATTCAAAACCTCTTTTGTCTAATAGAGTAAATATTTCAAAACAATGGCAAGATGGTGAATTAAGTAATTTTAAGTATTTACAATATATTACTGAAGTAGAACATTATAACTATTTTCCAAAAATATGTAGCACATTTAAACAAAATGTATTTGAATTGTACTATTCAAATAAAGTATTTCCTATATTGTCGGAATGCTTAACAAAAAAAGAAGTTTTATCATTAGATTTAAGAGAGTCTAATTTCCCTTCAGAATGGTTCTTTTTAATAGATTCATTAAAAAATGTGGAAATTCCAAAAGAATTTGCAGAATCTCCAAGACAATGTGTACAACATTTACAACTATTATTAGAATCTCCAAGAATATCAAAATATCTTAATAAATGGATTTCCTCTACATTTATGAATTTTAGAAAGGAAAAACCAAGAAAAATATCTTACGACTTTAATAAATTAATAAATGTTTTTGAGGGTACTAAAGGTATTATTAAAGACCCTTTATTTATTGGAGAAATTTATAATGGAGAAGAAGAAATACGTGTTGAGTTATTAAATGAAATGATTTATTTTATTGATTCTACTACAATAAAAAGTTGTCTTGAACGTCATATAAAAGGAGGAAATTTTATTCAATTGTATAAAGGAAGAATAGATGATATTTGTATTATATTTGATGATGGTATTATTTTTGGAAAGAAAGGAATGAAGAATATTATAATTACAGGAAATATAAAACATGTTATTAAATGTAATTATGTTCAAAGCGTTCATTTACTTTCAAATTTTATTGTTATTGGAACAGAAACTGAAATTCTTATTTGTAATTTTGATGGAATAATTATTGATAAAATAAAAGGTCGTTTTAATATTTTTACGGCTAATGATTGTGTTTTTGGAATAGAAAATAAAAGATTAATTCGTTGGAAAGAAAGAACATTACAATTTGATATTATATTATCACAAAATATTAAATTTGTTACTGGTGGAAATTCAATTACTTATGTCATTTTTAATGATAGTTCATTTAGTTGTATTAATGAAATTGGTGAAATTTATTTAACTACTTCATTTATGGATGTTGATATTATTATTTCAATGAAAGCAATAACTTGTGCAATGTTTGATTTTATTTTTCTTACTACTAATGAAAATATCTTCATTATTACAAATCGTCATGTTGAAATGCGTATATTAACTGCTATTACTTTTACTTCTGATTCTTCTGGTCATATTATTAATGATATTTGTCTTCCTTTATGTTCAAATGATTCACCTGAAACATGGAATTTCTTAGTTCTAAATAAAGATAATAAGAAGCATTATATTCATTTGTATAGAATAGATTATATTATTCTCTCAAAAATTTAATAATATATTTTTACTTCTTTTTCTGTATCAATTACTCTTTCTTTTTAACACAAATTTTATTTACTTCAATTTTATTTTGTTTTTTCCTTTTTTTTTGTTTACAAGAGAAAAAAACTGTTAAGAAAAGCTCTAAATCCAATTAATACTTCTTTATTTTATTTATGTTACTAAATAATTCAATTTTTTAGAAATAATATCTTTAGAGAATTTTCAAAAAAACCTGAAAAATGGATTTTCTTCTTTATTGAAACTCAAATAATTCATTCCAAAAAAAATGAAAACAAGTTATTTGTTCATT